ATTTTTAATAAATGGTGAGAAGTGTCTTAGGAAATTCATTTGTCGTTAAAACCAAAATCTTGAGCTTTCTGTAATCCTTGACTTCACCTTTCCGCATTAAGAACTTACATTTTTCTGGGTTTAATTTTTGAAAGATTGTGGGAAATGTTTTGGGAAATTAATTTGTCGTTATAACCAAAATATTGAGCTTTCTTTAATCCTGGACTTCACTTTCTCGCATCAAGAGCTTACATTTTTCTGGGTTTAATTTTTAAAACTGTGGAAAATATCTTAGGAAATTCATTTGTTGTTAAAATCCAAATCTTGAGCTTTCTTTAATCCTGGACGTCACTTTTCCGCATCAAGAACTTACATTTTTCTGGGTTTAATTTTGAAAACTGTGGAAAATATCTTAGGAAATTCATTTGTCGTTAAAATCCAAATCTTGAGCTTTCTTTAATCCTGGACTTCACTTTTCCGTATCAGGAACTTACATTTTTCTGGAATTAATTTTTAATAAATGGTGAGAAGTGTCTTAGGAAATTCATTTGTCGTTAAAACCAAAATCTTGAGCTTTCTGTAATCCTTGACTTCACCTTTCCGCATTAAGAACTTACATTTTTCTGGGTTTAATTTTTGAAAGATTGTGGGAAATGTTTTGGGAAATTAATTTGTCGTTATAACCAAAATATTGAGCTTTCTTTAATCCTGGACTTCACTTTCTCGCATCAAGTTTAATTTTGAAAACTGTGGAAAATATCATTTGTTGTTAAAATCCAAATCTTGAGCTTTCTTTAATCCTGGACGTCACTTTTCCGCATTAAGAACTTACATTTTTCTGGGTTTAATTTTTGAAAGATTGTGGGAAATGTTTTGGGAAATTAATTTGTCGTTATAACCAAAATATTGAGCTTTCTTTAATCCTGGACTTCACTTTCTCGCATCAAGTTTAATTTTGAAAACTGTGGAAAATATCATTTGTTGTTAAAATCCAAATCTTGAGCTTTCTTTAATCCTGGACGTCACTTTTCCGCATTAAGAACTTACATTTTTCTGGGTTTAATTTTTGAAAGATTGTGGGAAATGTTTTGGGAAATTAATTTGTCGTTATAACCAAAATATTGAGCTTTCTTTAATCCTGGACTTCACTTTCTCGCATCAAGAGCTTACATTTTTCTGGGTTTAATTTTGAAAACTGTGGAAAATATCATTTGTTGTTAAAATCCAAATCTTGAGCTTTCTTTAATCCTGGACGTCACTTTTCCGCATTAAGAACTTACATTTTTCTGGGTTTAATTTTTGAAAGATTGTGGGAAATGTTTTGGGAAATTAATTTGTCGTTATAACCAAAATATTGAGCTTTCTTTAATCCTGGACTTCACTTTCTCGCATCAAGAGCTTACATTTTTCTGGGTTTAATTTTGAAAACTGTGGAAAATATCATTTGTTGTTAAAATCCAAATCTTGAGCTTTCTTTAATCCTGGACGTCACTTTTCCGCATTAAGAACTTACATTTTTCTGGGTTTAATTTTTGAAAGATTGGGGAAATGTTTTGGGAAATTAATTTGTCGTTATAACCAAAATATTGAGCTTTCTTTAATCCTGGACTTCACTTTCTCGCATCAAGAGCTTACATTTTTCTGGGTTTAATTTTTAAAACTGTGGAAAATATCTTAGGAAATTCATTTGTTGTTAAAATCCAAATCTTGAGCTTTCTTTAATCCTGGACGTCACTTTTCCGCATCAAGAACTTACATTTTTCTGGGTTTAATTTTGAAAACTGTGGAAAATATCTTAGGAAATTCATTTGTCGTTAAAATCCAAATCTTGAGCTTTCTTTAATCCTGGACTTCACTTTTCCGTATCAGGAACTTACATTTTTCTGGAATTAATTTTTAATAAATGGTGAGAAGTGTCTTAGGAAATTCATTTGTCGTTAAAACCAAAATCATTAGCTTTCTTTAATCCTGGACTTCACTTTTCCGGATCAAGAACTAACATTTTTCTGGATTTAATTTTTGAAAAGTGTGGAAAATATCTTGGGAAACTCATTCGTCGTTAAAATCAAAATCTTTAGTTTTCTTTAATCCTGAACTTCACTTTTCCGCATCAAGAACTTACATTTTTTTGGATTTAATTTTTGAAAAATTTTGGGAAATTCATTTGTCGTTAAAACCAAAATCTTGAGCTTTCTTTAATCCTGGACGTCACTTTTCCGCATCAAGAACTTACATTTGTCTGGATTTAATTTTTGAAAAACTGTGGAAAATGTCTTGGGAAATTCATTTGTTGTTAAAATCCAAATCTTGAGCTTTCTTTAATCCTAGAAGTCACTTTTCCGCATCAAGAACTTTCATTTTTCTGGATTTCATTTTGAAAAATTGTGGAAAATATCTTGGGAAATTCATTTGTCGTTAAAATCAAAATCTTTAATTTTCTTTAATCCTGGACTTCACTTTTCCTCAAGGAATTTATTTTTGAAAAATTGTGGGAAATGTCTTAGGAAATTCATTTGTCGTTAAAACAAAAATTTTGAGCTTTCTTTAATCCTGGGATTCACTTTCCCGCATCAAAAACTTACATTTTTCTGGATTTAATTCTTGAAAAGTGTGGAAAATATCTTGGGAAACTCATTCGTCGTTAAAATCAAAATCTTTAGTTTTCTTTAATCCTGGATTTCACTTTTCCTCAAGGAATTAATTTTTGAAAAATTATGGGAAATGTCTTGGGAAATTCATTTGTCGTTAAAACCAAAATCTTGAGCTTTCTTTAATCTTGGACTTCACTTTTCTGCATCAAGAACTAACATTTTTCTGGATTTAATGTTTGAAAGATTGTGGGAAATGTCTTGGGGAATTTATTTGTCGTTAAATCCAAAATCTTGGGCTTTCTTTAATCCCGGACTTCACTTTTCCACATCAAGAGCTTACATTTTTCTAGATTTACTTTTTGAAAAATTGTGGGAAATATCTTGGGAAATTCATTTGTCGTTAACATCAAAATCTTGAGCTTTCTTTAATCCTGGACTTTACTTTCCTGTATCAAGAACTTACATTTTTTTGGATTTAATTTTTGAAAGATTGTGAGAAGTGTCTTGGGAAATTCATTTGTCGTTACAACCAAAATCTTGGCTTTCTTTAATCCTGGACGTCACTTTCCCGCGTCAAGAACTTACATTTTTCTGGATTTAATTTTTGAAAAATTGTGGGAAATGTCTTGGGAAATTCATTTGTCTTTAAAGTAAAATATTTAGCTTTTTTTAATCCCGAACTTCACTTTTCCCCAAATCAAAAACTTAAGTTTTCTTTGGAATTAATTTTTTAAAAATTTGTGAAGGTGTCTTCTGAAATTCATTTATCGTTAAAATCAAAATCTTTTTTTGAACATGATGCAATGGTGCGCTATGTCATCCGTAATTAGGCTGCAGTAAAACCAAAGCGTTGGTTTTTTAGTCATACTTTAATTTCTGAAGTATTTTTTGAATTGTAGGCATCCAATCAAAAAAATCTATAGTCATCTAGATCTGACTGCCGAAATGGAAGATTCGGTCAATATAATGATTGTATTTAAACAATGTGGTAATTTTTTTATGCTCGGTAAGCAAACTATGTACCTACATAGTTTTTTGAAACATACCGAGTTTTTTTATTTTGTAGAATCCAAAAAGCTCAATTTAACTATCATTTTTCAGTAATTCAAACGATCTTTCCCTTGGTTTTCTTTAATATCTGGAAAACATTTTTTAATTCAAATTTAATTTCTGGAATTAATTTTTGGGAATTAGGGGAAATAGCTTACTGAAAACTATCTCCGAACCTCATGATTCTTTATTGGACTTTCTAGTTTTAAACAAAATCAAAAAGTCAAAAAATTACAAAATGCAAATTAAGATCATTGGGTCAACTTCCTTAAGTTTGGCATAATGCCAACTGTGAAATTAGCATAATTACTGATTAATTATAAGTGTGGGTAATTGATCGCTGCATTTACCGTAGCAGGCGTTTTAATTAATTATAGAGTCCTGAATAACCATGTGGTTAATCTTGTGACTCTTAATGAACGTAATTACGCAGTGTAATTAACAAAGACTAATTGGAATTGGGTCTTAATTAGTGATAATTAAATAAAATTTACTAACTTGTTGAATGTGAATTTTGTACACCCCTAACACACTATTGCGTAATTATGTAAATTAACGACACCTTATGGAGTTGGGACCTTTCTGAAGTTCATTATTTGTTAACGGTCAATTACCTATCTATGTCAGGAATGGCACTTCCGACTATCCACTACAATTAATTGTCGTGAACAATTGCCTACTTAATAACAATAATTGCGTTCTTTTAGTCGAGTTCGGGGACACGGCATTTATCAAAATTTTGTCAAGAACGTTTCGATTCCATGTACCTAATTAATTTCAATTCAAATCGGAATTATGTAATTAGTTTAATTACTTGGATGTAATTAGTAACCATCAAATTAATTAGTAGTGAATACTAGATTTAGATAGATTGTACTTGTGCTTTCTCCTGAAATAAGAAAGTTACGTCACCGTTGCGTATGTCGGCTATTTAAGCGGAAATAGCTTTTAAATTACTTGAACATAATTTCACAAAATTGCATATACGGCGAATGATAGAAAGTAAATATGTTTTACAGATTCTTTTATAATTTATGACTTTCTCTCCTCGTTTCGGGTTTGTAATACACGCAATCTCTAATTACGTTGCTATGAAATAGTGAAAGCAAAAGAGCGCGAAGATGCCTAACAAATCGCCCAAAAAAAAAACGGGTGGGAGGTTACATAATTAATTATTTCAAAAAATCTGGATCATGTTTACAAAATTGACTTCCTCAAGTTTCTAAATTGTGACATAATCTCGCTTTGTCATATAATTGTGTTATAACAGGCACGCTCCTCCATATTAACCGTCGACTTTACCGATTAGGTATACAGTAAGGTTACTTTCGTACGTTGTCTGAATGGAAAATTAGTTCCTTTTTTTTTTTCTGTTTTCAGACCGAAAATGCCGGGACTAATCGACACGCCGGACAATGAAGCGGTACCGTTAACGCCCATACAGAAGTTTTACTCGGGCGCAAACGTATTCGTGACCGGAGGGACCGGTTTTTTGGGTAAAATGCTAATCGAGAAGCTATTGAGGTCGTGTCCCGACATATCGACCCTATACGTCTTGGTGCGAAGCAAAAAGGGACGCAACATGCACACGAGAGTCGAGGAGCTCTTCGACGACAAGCTCTTCGACAGTCTCAGATCGACGTGTCCGAAATTTCGGCACAAGGTGGTCGGAATCGCCGGCGACTGCAGCCTGACCGATTTGGGACTGACGATACAGGATCGACAGTTGTTGATCCAAGAGGTAAGTGGACTACGCCTGATGCCTACTTAAAAATTCCGTGTCGTTATTTACGCGTTAAAGTCGACGGCACGCACGAGATTTCGACATTTCGAACGGGAGGGGATCGTAACGGGAACCCCGCGACACCCCTTCGCGCGATTAAGGTGAAGGATGTTGTAATGAATATTCATTACGTACTGGGGTTGCATTCCAACGCAACCTGTTTGAATCTTCTCGACCCAGATTTAAAGAACCGAAACAATAGTCGTCGAATATAGCAGCGCACTCGTACTAAACTTATGACAGCTATTTCAAAAAGATACAGTGAAGAAGAACGCTGGAGGTCTCAGATAGGTTAGGAAATGAACGTGTTAATGGGTTTTGGAGTACAGAATCAACAAAAGTAAAATTTACGCACCGAAGTAGAGAACAAATAAAAGCTCATTAAAGTACTTCTATAGTGTAAAAGTCTTTAAGGAGCTTGTGACAACATCTACCGTAATGAAGGATATTCTAGAATTCGGTGAAAGTATTCTTCTAGAATGCCAAAAATTTTCAAGAACATCCAAATATTTTCTCACCAATAGTTGTCAATGATGGCCTTTTCGGTATCTTATAGATCACTCTCACTCTCGCTCTCACTCGCTATTCTTCTACCTAGAATGTCAAAAATTTTCAAGAACATCCAAATATTTTCTCACCAGGAGCTGTCAATGATGGCCTTCTCGGTATTTTATAGATCACTCTCACTCTCCCTATCACTCCCACTCTCTCTCGCTAGCGCTCTCACATTCACTCTCAATCTCACTCTCGTTCTCGCTCTCACTCTTACTCACTATTCTTCTACCTAGAATGTCAAAAATTTTCAGGCACATTTAAATATTTTCTCGCCACGAGTTGTCAATGATGGCCTTTTCGGTAACTTCGGTAATTTTAAAGGTACTCTTACTCTCACTCTTACTCTCACTCTCCCTCTCTCTCACTCTCGCTCTTTCTCACTCTCTCTCACTCTCACTCGCACACTCACTCCCACTTCCACTCTCTCTATAACTCACTATACTTCAAACTAGAATGTCAAAAATTTTCAAAAACATCCAAATATTTTCTCACCACAAGTTGTCAATGATGGCCTTTTCGGTATCTTATAGATTTTAAAGGTACTCTCACTCTCATTCCCATTTTTTTCACTCTCGCTCTCACTGACACTCGCACTCTCACTCTCGCTCTCGCTCTCACTCATTCTCACTCGCACTCTCACTCCCACTTTCACTCTCTATCACTCTCACTATCACTCTCTCTCTCTCTCTCACACACTCTCACTCACTGTTCTTCTAACCAGAATGTCAAAAATTTTCAAGAACATCCAAATATTTTCTCGCTACGAGTTATCAATGATCGCCTTTTCCGTATCTTATAGATCACTCTCACTCTCACTCTCGCTCTCACTCACTCTCACTCACTATTCTTCTACCTAGAATGTCAAACATTTTCAAGAACATCCAAATATTTTCTCACCAGGAGTTGTCAATGATGGCCTTTCCGGTATCTTATAGATCACTCTCACTCTCGCTCTCACTCACTATTCTTCTACCTAGAATGTCAAAAATTTTCAAGAACAACCAAATATTTTCTCACCACAAGTTGTCAATGATGGCCTTTTCGGTATCTTATAGATTTTAAAGGTACTCTCACTCTCATTCCCATTTTTTTCACTCTCGCTCTCACTGACACTCGCACTCTCACTCTCGCTCTCACTCATTCTCACTCGCACTCTCACTCCCACTTTCACTCTCTCTATCACTCTCTCTCTCTCACTCTCACATCCAAATATTTTCTCGCTACGAGTTATCAATGATGGCCTTTTCCGTATCTTATAGATCACTCTCACTCTCGCTCTCACTCACTCTCACTCACTATTCTTCTACCTAGAATGTCAAACATTTTCAAGAACATCCAAATATTTTCTCACCAGGAGTTGTCAATGATGGCCTTTCCGGTATCTTATAGATCACTCTCACTCTCGCTCTCGCTCTCACTCACTATTCTTCTACCTAGAATGTCAAAAATTTTGAAGAACATCCAAACATTTTCTCACCAGGAGTTGTCAGTGATGGCCTTCTCAGTATCGTATAGATCACTCTCACTCTCTCTCACTCTCACTCTCGCTCTAACTCACTCTCGCTCTCACTCTCGCTCACTCTCACTCCCACTTTCACTCTCCCTATCACTCTCACTCTCGCTAGCGCTCTCGCTCTCGCTCTCACTCTCGCTCACTCTCACTCCCACTTTCACTCTCGCTCACTATTCTACCTAGAATGTCAAAAATTTTCAAGAACATCCAAATATTTTCTCACTAGTGGTTGTCAGTGATGGCCTTCTCGGTATCTTATAGATCACTCTCACCCTCCCTATCACTCTCACTCTCACTCTCGCTAGCGCTCTCACTCTCACTCTCAATCTCACTCTCGCTCTCGCTCTCACTCACTCTCACTCACTATTCTTCTACCTAGAATGTCAAACATTTTCAAGAACGTCCAAATATTTTCTCACCAGGAGTTGTCAATGATGGCCTTCTCAGTATCTTATAGATCACTCTCACTCTCTCTCTCACTCTCGCTCTCACTCTCGCTCACTCTCACTCTCACTCTCGCTCACTCCCACTTTCACTCTCCCTATCACTCTCACTCTCGCTAGCGCTCTCACTCTCGCTCACTCTCACTCCCACTTTCACTCTCGCTCACTATTCTACCTAGAATGTCAAAAATTTTCAAGAACATCCAAATATTTTCTCACTAGTAGTTGTCAGTGATGGCCTTCTCGGTATCTTATAGATCACTCTCACCCTCCCTATCACTCTCACTCTCACTCTCGCTAGCGCTCTCACTCTCACTCTCAATCTCACTCTCGTTCTCGCTCTCGCTCTCACTCTCACTCACTCTCACTCACTATTCTTCTATGATGGCCTTTTCGGTAACTTCGGTAATTTTAAAGGTACTCTCACTCTCACTCTCACCCTCTCTCACTCTCACTCGCACACTCACTCCCACTTCCACTCTCTCTATCACTCACTATTCTTCTAATTAGAATACCAAAAATTGTCAAGAACATCCAAATATTTTCTCACCACGAGTTGTCAATGATGGCCTTTCCGTCCTTTTTTTCACCAATCTGTGTAGTACAGGGTCGCTGATAAGTCTGTATACTGTCGATTATTGGGGAAAATATACAAGGTATCAAAAAAAACTTTATACAAAAGGTTTTTTGTTCTTTAATGTTTTCTTGGCAGTAGTAATTTTAATTATACAGGGTGGCACACTAATATTGCATTTTTTAAATAGAACACCCTGTATATTATTCGATATTTCAATTTTTCTCTTAATTTTGAGCACAATTCGTAAGAAGCATACTGTACCCAAATGCAATCGTTTCCGAGTTATCGAGTTTTGGAAATAAAAAGTAGTGCTTGAAATGTATTGAATAAAGGACAAATTAATGACATCACAAATTACTTTTGGTAACATTCTGTGGTTCTGAAAAAAAAACCGTTTGTGAGCTTTTGTGAGTTTAAGAGCTTTTGAGAGTCCTTAAGGGTGTTTGGGAGCGTCTAGTAATTTTTTAAGGAAATTTAATATCCGAATTTTGAGAACCTTTAAGATCCTTTAGAACCCGTTACGAGCTTTATGGGCATGTAAGTGCAGTTATGGATTTTAAGAGATTTTGAGGGATGCTAACCGTTTCTTGAATCAGGGCTTCCAAGCCTGAAAAGAAAGAACGCTTGGTTTGTGGCGGGTCCATTTCGTAATTTTGTATTCGGCGAGTACTTAAGTAAAAATGTGGTGGGAGAGCCGGATTGTTATTCAAACCTTCGAGGAGAACCTAACCGAACCTCTGAAACTAAAACTTGCATACCGTTCACAGAAGTTAACCAATTTGTTTGGGGTAAAAACAGATTTTGCTCTCCATGGCATTCTAGTGAAACTTTCTTTGCGACTTCCTTTCGAAATTAAATAGAGGGGGGGGGGGGTCTGGGAGTACTGAATACCGCCCAGCAAATGAATTTCCGGAGAGATATCTTAAAGCGGTAATGTTTGAAACCGCCAATTAAGGTCTCGTATAGTAGGGAGTATTTCATACTCCCCCCACCCGTCATCGAAAACACTTTCCTCTACATAACTTTCATTCATTTTTAAGAGATTAAGAGATTTTTAAGAGGGAAGGAATCAAAGGAAGGTTCTATAGCCATTACCGGAAAATTATGCCAAAAGCTGCGAAGGTTTCAAACCTCCCAGCAAAAAAGACCACGATTACCCTATAGCCTTATATCCTTCAATACTATGGTTTTCTAAAAACGGCACATTGAATCGTTAAGTAAGCCATGGATGTTATAGTATGTTAATTAAGCGATGGAAAAAGATTATACGAAGTCTTTCTACTCAAAGTGGACAACGCAATAGGGGTTATGAGACTCGTCAAAACTAACACTTTTTTAAAGTAAATTTTTTACACAAAATCGTCCTGAAACCTTCATTTTCATGCCTACTTTCCGTCAGGAAATTTTAGTTTCCATGACCGAGAGCAGAGCGTTTCCTGCCGCTTGTCACTTTACTGGCCGCACCAGCTGCATTTTTGACATTGCTAAATGTCTATAATGACTCCTGCCATCACTGACAGATTGACTTAATCATATGAAAATTGAAATTTTATATTAAAATACGATTTCGGATAAAATTTAATACAAAACTCGTCAGTAAAATGACATTACCTGACTCGGAAATTAAAGTACTCGGACCCAAAGGGGCCTCGCACTCCAATATTTCCTCGCCAGTAATGTGTCATTTCCTGTCTTTTATGTAATAGTTATTTACATAAAAGCCAGGAAAATGATATACTTATACTGCATTTATTATAAGAAGGTAGTAGATGGCGCTGCGTTTGAAGATAAACACACACAGGAAAAATATAAAACGGCACCAAATTATTTAAAGTAGAAATATTCAGCACTGCGAACAGAAATAAACTTTTGACAATAACAGCTAATGACACTGCGGCAGTTTAGTTGGCAACATAAACTACCTCTTTACAAAATTCACCAGTCGTTTTATGTTTCATTGTAATACTGGCTCGTGTTTTAATCAATCGCAGTGAAGGTCAAAGCTTCCTTATGCTTTCTACCTACCGCTACCTTCTTAAAATGAATACACTATAGGTCGTATGTTGCTATACAGGGTGTCTTAAATTGAATAGGATTACATGGCTATCTTTGTTATTATTATACTTACAGATTCGATTAAATTGGCAAAGTTGCATAGTTTTTGATGATAATGGATATTCCGATGCGATATTTAAAGAAATCGTTTCATAGGTAATTTAAAAAAAGTGAAAATCGTCATTTTTTAAAAGTTCAAATGTTTTGGTAACATTCGAAAAAAGTTTTAAATAAAAGTTACAAGATTCGATGGGATAAATTCAATGAACGTAGAAAAAAATTTTTAAAATGGCGATTGGTATCAACTTCCTTGTTTTAAATGGACGCCATATTGGATTTTTACGCCACTCGATAGAGAAATAATTACAAAACCAGTGATACTAAACACTTAGAAATCAACCTTACATTTTTGCCTCGAAGTTTACAATGTCTTTCTTATGGCAATAATTCCATGGCCGTGTCGATGGTGACTATGCGACACAATAAACGAACGAATTTGGTTTCAATCATAATCAGCCATGGAATTATTTCCATAAGAAATACATTGTAAACTTCTAGACAAAAATGTAAGGTTGATTCCTAAGTATTTAGTATCACTGGTTTTGTAATTTTTTTCTCTATCGAGTAACGTAACAATCCAATATGGCGTCCATTTAAAATAAGGAAATTGATATCAATATCTCGTAAACCGCCATTTTAATTTTTTTTCTACGTTCATTGAATTTATCCCATCGAATCTTGTACCTTTTATTTGAAACTTTTTTCGATAGCTCTGTTTGTAATTTTTTTTAAAATGGCGATTTTTCATTTTTTATCAATTATCTACGAAACGCTTTATTTTATTCAAAATATCGCATCGGAATATCCATCGGCATAAAAACTACACAACTTTCCCAATTTAACCGAATCTGTAAGTACAAATATAACAAAATGGCCATGCTATCCTACTCAATTTAAGGCACCCTGTATACTTGGCGTTAAAAAGCAATTTCGATCATTTTTACCAACCGCAACTATAAAAATTTCGACTCTACTACGACAACTACTCATCCATTTGTGTTAATTTTCGTCAAAATAAAGTCCCAACCTAGGACACCCCTTTGTTATCTCAAAATGGACTCGTCCATCAGTTTGACGTTTAATTTTTTTAAAATGGCGGAAAATTTTCGTTTTAACGAAATTAAGGAAAACACGCCACTTTCGTGGCGACAAAAAGCTTCCAACACATGCGAATGGAAATTTTAGAAAGTTTAAGACCCCTCACGGACGTGCCCGCGCCCTATTTAACTCAAAAATTAAAAAAAACACGCTTCACTGATGACGTCATGGGCGCATGTTTTTAAATTTTATGGAATTTTACATCAAATCGAATTTCAAATTGCCGAAAAATAACCAACGCCGCCAATCATTCCGTTCACGTACACAATTTAAATAAACATATAACCGGGTCCTTTTTAGGTCTCCATAGTTTTTCACGTCGCGGCAACGGTCCGTTTCGATGAGAAGCTGAAGCTAGCGATGGCAATCAACGTAAAGGGGCCTAGGGAGGTTCTCTACCTGTGCCGGGAGATGATAAATCTCAAATCGGTCATCCACGTGTCAACGGCGTACTCGAATTGTAACCTGAGCATGATCGAGGAGAAGTTTTACCCGCCGCCGCTCGACAGCAAGAAGTTGATAATGCTCACCGATACGATCCAGGAGAGGCTGCTGGATAAGGTGACGCCGATGTAAGTTGGCCGTTTGTTGTTTTCAGATGTAAATGTGCACCTTTGTAGATTACTAGATCAGTGGCCCAACACCTACACGTATACCAAATCCGTGGCAGAAGACATCGTGCGGTTGGAGGGTGAAGGTCTGCCGGTAGGCATTTTTCGACCAGCTGTCGGTAGGTGGAGAGTGCTCGAGAGGTTAGCTCACCAAATGTGTTTTAGTGGTATCGGCCTATAAGGAGCCGATGAAGGGTTGGATCAATAATATGTACGGGCCTACGGGGGTGTGCGCGGGTGCCGGTACCGGCGTCCTCAGAACGATCCATTGCGATGCCAGCGTTAACGCCAATATCGTACCGGTGGACATGTGCGTCAACTCCCTAATCGCGAACGCATGGGACGTCGCCGAAACCTACGCGCTCTGCAAGAAGCAACAACGCGAGTACCAAATCCCGATATGCCACTACGAGTCCAGCAACGATCAGCCACTCTACTGGGGCAAGTTCATGGAACTCTCGGCGCTGCACGGTATGGAGGTACCTTCAATCAAAGCCATATGGTATTACTGCCTAACGCTCCAAGCGACCAGACTCGGTTACAACTTCACAGTATTCTTCCTGCACATCCTTCCGGCCGCAATCTGCGATTTCGCCCTGCTCTGCGTCGGCAAATCGCCGCGACTCCTCAAAATTTACAAAAAGATCCACAAATTCACCGCCGTCATCTCGTACTTCTGCACGCGGAATTGGCAATTCAAGTCGTCCCGCTACCAGGAGATCATCGCGAAAATGACGCAGGAGGACAGGAGGATATTCTTTCAAAACTTGAAGGAACTCGACTGGGAGGAGTACTTCAAGGAGTACATTAAGGGCATACGGATTTACCTAATCGGCGATCCTGAGCACACAATGCCCGCGGCCAAGGCGAAGTGGCAACGGTGGGTAGCAAACTGGAACGTTTGTCTTTGCTAATGGTTTAATTGCAGGTTGTTCTGGTTGCACCAGGCGTTTAAGGTGCTTCTTGCCTTTGTTATTTTGAGGACGTTATGGGCGGTGCTCTGCATGTTTATGTCATAGTTTAAAAGCATACTTTTTTTGTATATACTATTCATATTTCCATATAAATCTGTAAGCATCACCATATATTTATACTAATAAAATTGAAATAATCTGTGATCATACGATGAGGAAGCTGATTACGCAACCGGCTGTACGTTGACTTTCAGCTTGCGTAACGTTGGAAGTAAGAGCGACTTTCTCGCCTTTAGGGGCGATCCGTTACCTGTTGACACAATTTTCACGAAGACGCTAACGAGAACTAATTAGGTGAACAAATCAAAAGTACAGTTACTTGAGCGCAATGAAGAGCAGATGACACTATGCTTGCGACTGCATTTTTGGTAACGTGCTGTGCTGCGTTTGTAAGTTCCACGCAGCACGCTCTGGCGAAGAGGGCACTGTTGTTTCAGCCGTTCACGATCCTGCAGGTGAGTAAGCTCGTTGGTCGACAGCACTTGATGGTCAAACCCCAAGTTCACCTACGGAGTATCAGCGCCGGCCCTCTTACCGAAACGCTCAATTAACCTCAGCCTGTGCCTGCAAACTAACTTCGAGCTGCCGAACAACATCTCCAACTTTTACCCGACGGTCTTCACCGCGCGAGAAAATGACGACTACGATCTGGACCGCCACACATTCTACGAGTACGTCACGGAGATCTTAAACGGGTAATTCCGCTTCGTGTTACGTCAGTTACATTTACATTTGCCGCTCCAGGTTGGGCCTGAACGGAACCGACTGCCTCCTCCGTTCCATATGCGAAATCGGGGAGGTTCCGATGCACGTCGATCCCGACAACAGTTCCGTTCTCGAGGAGATCGTCCATTATCTCTTCAGGTAAGCCCGAGTCGTCCTTACGCTTAAATCCGAACGAATGTCGTAGTCCGTCGGAGGATTTCGTCCGGATAGACAACGGCACGTTGGGGGCGTACCTGGACGCCGAAATGTGGGGCAAAACGTTCGGGAAGTGTAATCGGAGGTACGACGGGTGTCCGCTGTCGGTTGTTAGTCTGTTTACAAAACTGTTTTATGTATAAGAGAATTAAATAGAATTTTTGAGGAATTACTTTTTTGCCTTTTTAATCTAAAAATCTTTCAAAAATCAACGATTTTAATATTCTGACACTTTTGAATTTCGATGGCAGTCAGCTCGATATGGTTGGCACGAATGAACTCCTACATTGTGTAATCGGTTCTTGTATGTGTTGGGACGTGAGACATAATCGGGAAGGGAATTAAATAAAAAACAGAACTTTTGTGCGTAAGAAATGACAAGAACAAATAAATATATTACGCACACAACAAGACCATGCCAGGGAAACCGTCTACGGGACAAAAACCCCGCCATAGACCACACAAATATATGAAATAAATCACCTACAGCAATAAAACGCAAGAGAAAATACACATAAATAAAACATCTCAAATTGTATGATAAAAATTAAATGCAATTAAACAAATTCAGAAAAACAAGATACACAAGACATCATAAATGCAGTGGAAAACCTGATAAATCAATTCAGTACAAAAACACATCAAAATACCTGTAAGATCAATTGAGCTAACACAAATAAATGGCATGTACATAGGAAACATCAAAATGGTGTGGCTCTACTCCAGCCTTCATTGACATAATTTTATTTGACACGAAAAGTACATGTGAGAATGCTAATAGAAAGTATTCATGTGAAAATCGATTATCGCTCAGGCAGAACATATTTTAAATAGGGGAAATGTTAATGAGAGGGCCCCTAAGTATCTCGCATTGCTAAGATGCTAAGAACTGCAATCCGCACAAGACGAGTAGGTAACAGATACAGCGAAAGATGGAACTGTATTAGGTACCTACTCCACGGAGACAGAATGAACCACTCACACACACACAAACATCGAAACATCAAATAAGAGAGCCCCCCTTTCGTACAAGAACTGCACAAGAACTGCGGCGCGTCACGAATCAGAAGCTAACAGATACCGCGAACAATCAAACTGTATTACGTACTTCCCTCACGGAATAGTTACGATTCAATCGAACAGACCAACATCGCACTGATAATCAACTCCTGGTGAATACAGAAATAAATATTTAAAAAACAAAACAATGGCATAATCACCTGTACAGTATAACAAACACGATTCATCTAACGGTACTCAAAAACAAAAGCATGGATTACGCCATATTTAGGTATCGCGGTTTATTCAAAATCAGCAAAATGTAAATAATATCAAATTGTGGCAAGAAATTCAATGATTAAATAGCTAGTACAAGAAAGAATAAAATGGTTACTACCTGTAAATACACCTTCAAAACACCACAACCAAAATAATCAAGAATAAAAGAACCCGGGAACGTGTGATGCCTTCCGTCGACCCCGTCGCCATCTTCTTTTCTTGCGCCACGCTCTTTTTCTTCCCTAGCTTCGTTACGAAAATCCCCTAGTATTCGGCATTTGCGCAAAACGGTCGATTGGTTATATACAGAGCTTATCATATTTTTGTTTCCGATGTAAAGGTGTATTGCCTAACCATAAGGGTGGATTATCACAACATACACTGTAGTGTACTTAACCCCCAGGTTCTACGCTAACTTCACACTACAAGAACACGGAAATAAAGTCAACCCGCCAACGTTTAAAAATGGCCACCCGAATGACTATTCCCACCAAAACTAAACAAGATCGCGCTTAAATTTGAAAAGTGGCACGTGATCAAACATCTAAGGCAGGGCCCCCTTGCGTTAGCTGTAGACAACACTTTGACCTGAAGTACAGTAGGGAAGGAACGTTAAATAAAACACTGATGAAATGGTGAAAAGTTTATTTAATAATGATCGTAATTATTATGATTGTAAAAGCTCAGAAATTTAAGTCGAAATAAATTACCTACATTGCAAAAATAAACTTTGAAAATGGTAGTTCACCGAATTAAAATAGAAATAGCCCGGGAAAAAAAGAACTTATTACCAATAAAAAACCAGCCGTCAAATTAATATCAAATTGTGTTGTAAAAGTAATTGTTTGTAATGATGTGACTGCGTAACATAAAATTATAACATCAGAAAAAGTAGGAGGTAAACTTCAAGAGATAACAAATAGGTTAACAACAAGTTTTGGGAATTATGGGTCAGATAAGCAGGTACCAAGATTCTAAGAAATTGTGAAGGGATGTGACTCATCTTTGGTGCAATAAAGTCCTTTTGTTAAAAGCAAGATGGAAAATTGCATGGCCGTGTAGGCAAATTTAACTAAAAACAAAATATGTGGAAATTATTGAATCACTACTCATTTATTGCACATAGATTCTATACCAAAGAGTTTTGATTAGCATAATCTTGCCCCCGCAAGATAGATTGCGTCGCCCCTCGTTCGGGGTTTCGATCCTACAGTTGACAGTCGAAGACAATCACGAAATTAGGTGTCGTACTTCAAATGGTTACAGTTTTTACCACCCCGTGACTGTTAGCTACAAACAACAAGTCAGAACATACATCAAACGAATCTGAATTTCCACATATTAAAATAAAATTATCAAAACATACATCAATGTTACTTCAGGGATAAGACCAAGTAATCAACATCAATAAACATAAATTAAGCAAGTATTACACCAAAAACGTAAACAATTACAAACAATAGCATAACGGTATCACATATGTGATTATGCATTGCGGTTAAACCAAGTAAATTTCAAAAACAAAGATTCAAATACACAAAAAGTATAAAATACAGCATACAAAACACAAATACGATATAAAGAAATTCAAAAATTACTACCTGCATTAAAAAAACACAAAATATTTCAACAAACAAATAGAGATTTTTCTCTTTTCAATGACATAACATTAAAAACTATTAAATAATTACATCAAAAACATTAATCTAGATATCCTACATCAAAATAAAACAAATAAACTCATACCTACGTATTAAACCTCAAAAACAAAACGAAATTAGCAGTAAAATGGTTTTCATCGCAATAAATGTCTCAAAATGGTCACATTAACTACAAGACAGTGGCCTAACCTATCACGAAAAGACTTAAAAAATTTCTTGTATAGAGCGCTATGTCGTTGAAAAGAAAAAAGAAATCTCTACCAAATAGACTAATGAACCGTGTGTGCTATTTTTGGGTTGAGACAGTAGCGTATCTCAGGTTTTTTAATGTTAGAGACTTGCGGTTATCGCGACCATGTGTCACTGTTCTGTAAAACTTTTAATAGCACAAACAGAATCAATCTAGCTACGTATATTTCTGAAATATACAGGGTGACAAGAACAAGAACTGCCTATTTTAGATATTGTTACGTAGAATCGAGTGGTGCCGTTAAAAAAATGTTGTGAAAATCCACCCTTATGGTTAGGCAACACACCTTACACCTGAAACAAAAATATGATATCCTCTGTATATAACCAATCGACGGTTTTGCGCAGATGCCGAATACTAGGGGATTTTCGTAACGAAGCTAGGGAAAAAAGAGTACGCAGAAAAAAAGAAAGATGGGGACGGGGTCGAAAGAAGACATCACACGTTTCCGGATTTCTTCTTACTTTTTTAGTTTGTGGTGTTTTGGAGGTGTAATTACAGGTAGTAACCATTTTATTCTTTCTTGTATTCATATTAATCATTGAATTTCTTGTGACAATATGATATTATTTACATTTTGCTGATTTTGCATAAACTGTACAGGTGATTATGCCATTATTTTGTTTTATTAAGTATTTATTTCTGTATTCACGAGGAGTTGATTATCAGTGCGATGTTGCTTTGTTCGATTGATTCGTAACTATTCCGTGAGGGAAGTACCTAATACAGTTCGATCTCTCGCTGTATCTGTTGCCTACTAGTCTTGTGCGGATTGCAGTTCTTATCATCTTAGCAATGCGAGATATTTAGGGGCCCTCTCATTAACAGTTCCTCTATTTAAAATATGTTCTGTTTGGGCGATTATCGATTTTCACATGAATACTTGCTATATGCATTCTCACAAGTACTTTTCGTGTCAAATAAAATTATGTTAATGAAGGCTGGAGTAGAGCCACACCATTTACATGTTTCCTATGTACATGCAATTTATTATTTTACGAGTTGTGTTAGATCAATTGATCGTACAGGTATTTTGATATGTTTTTGTGCTGAATTGATTTATTAGGTTTTTCACTGCATTTATGATGTCTTGTGTATTTTGTTTTTATGAACTTGTTTAATTGCATTTGATTTGATTATCTGATTTTTATCCTACAATTTGTGATGTTTTATTTATGTGTACTTTCTCTTGCATTTTATTATTGTAGGTGATTTATTTCATATATTTGTTTGGTTAAGCCGGGGTTTTGTCCCTTGATATTTATTTGTTCTTGTCATTTCTTACGCATAAAAGTTCTGCCTTCTATTTAATACCCTTCCCGATTATGTCTCACGTCTCAACACATACAAGAATCGATTACACAACGTAGGAGTTAATTCGTGCCACCCATATCGATGTGACTGCCATCCAAATTCAAAAGTGCCGCGAAACGTCTATCGTTTCTACTTGAAAGGTAGGTGGCTCTGCTTGTAGATTTTTTCCAGAGTTGCTAACGGTAAGTATAGGGTAAGTCAAGGTTTTCAGTGTCGGCTTGATAGACCCCTAGGACCATTACAATGTTTAGATTACCGTTCCTGAGATTTGATCCAAAGTTGGTATTTTTTAAATGCAACACCCTGTATATATTATTACTTGATTACATTAATGTATTACAACCTATGTTTTTTAATATACATAATTTTATATACCGTCAGTCATTTTTATTGATTGGCATGGGCTGCCATGGATACAATAAACAAAACAAAATCTCCATAAATCCATGACCTACTATTTATTTAAAAACCGTAAAAATAAGGTTTTTATTTTTGGTTATAGGTTGCAATACATCAACGTAATAAAAAAAATAATGCACAAAAATTTACGTGAAGATATACAGGGTGTTGCATTTAAAAAATACCAACTTTTGGTCAAATCTCGGAAACGGTGGGCAAAAAAATTGTGTACTACGCCACTGGATTCTACGTAAAAATATCTTACGTGGGTAGTAAGATATGATAACATCCAAACATATCAAGATTTTTGTTTTCATCCTGTATCTCCGAAACAAAAATCGTAGCTAGATTGATTTTGTTTGTGGTTAAAAGAGTCACAAAAAAGTGGCACAGAGTCGCGTAAGTCTCTATCTTTAAAAACAGCCGAGATACACTGCAGTCTCAACCAAAATGGGACACATGGTACATTACTAATTTAAAAAATTGAATTGTTTTTCGTTACTCATTTGTTTTCTGAAATAAAAACAACATCTTGCCTTTTTATAGGAAATAAAATATTAAACAACTTTTATATAAAAAAATGTTGTATGCAGTCGTTATTTCCCTAGATAGGTATATACTTTATTCCATACATAATGGGCACCCTGTATAATTTCGATATTTTTATTGACTGTATAAGCACTTGATTTCTAAGTAAAGCATCGAGAACATATCCAAGATTCCAGTAAAACTACGTTTATTAACATTTATTTTTGTTTAAATAGATAGAATACATAAATGTTTCTAGATTATAAACACTTTATTACTCTACATCCTAAACAAGTATAACTGTAATCAGTCGATACATCATTTTAAATCGATGGAGGCAGTGCGTTCACAGGTAGTGTTGGTGTAACGAGAGCAAAATCCCACTAAGCAGATTTAACATCGCTCGATTTCTTATGCAACAAAATGTGCCGCTTTAAATAACCTTTATCGTTTGTCGCGTAATTACACTGAGGACACTTAAACTCCTTGGCTATATTATGTCTCGATAGATGTTTCCGTAGGTAAGATTTATCGTTCGTCGCATAATCGCAAAGCATGCATCTCAAATCCTTGGTCGTCTTGTGCAGCAAGACGTGCCGTTTGAAACAGTACTTCATGTTCGTCGCGTAATCGCACTGTGCACATTTGAAATCCTTGGAGCTGTTGTGCGATAGAATGTGCTGTTTGAAATAGTACTTGTGATTGGTTTCGAAATTGCACTGGTCACATTTAAATTGCTTGAACAAGCTGTGGGTTAACTGATGTTTTTTTAAACACGACTTGTCGTTTGTTGCATAATCACACACCGTGCATCTTATATCCTTGGGTCTCGTGTGTAATGCGACATGTCGTTTGAGGCAATATTCATTGTTCGTCGTGTACTCGCATACGGCGCATTTCAACTCGGTGGAATTCTCGTGTGACACGAGGTGTTTTTTGAAGTACGATTTATTATTCGTTGCAAAATCGCAGTGTGCACATTTTAAATCCTTGGAGGCGTTGTGCGATAAGAGGTGTTTTTTGAAGTAATACTTGTCATTTGTTGCATAACTACACTGGCCACATTTAAAATCCTTGCAAATGTTGTGCCTTAATAAGTGCTGTTTTAAATAAGATTTATTGTTTGTGGCGTATTCGCACATAGGACACTTTATATCTTTGGACGTGTTGTGTATTAAGAGATGGTATTTGAAGTAATATTTATTATTTGTCGTGTAACCACACTGGTCACATTTAAAGTCAATGAAGGTGTTATGTGTTAACAGATGTTTTCTAAAGTAAGACTTAACGTGTGTCGCGTAGTCACACAGTGCACATTTATAATCCTTCGACGGCTTGTGTGACAAGAGGTGCTGTTTCAAACAATATTTATCGTGCGTTGCGTAATTACACTCGGAACATTTAATATCCTTGGAAGCTTTATGCCTTAGGAGATGTCGTTTTAAGTGACATTTAAAATTGGTGGAATAGTCGCACTGGACGCACTTGAAATTCTTAACGGCCGTGTGTATTAAAAGGTGTCGCTTAAGATCGCCTTTGACATTTGTGCCAAAATTACAATGGGCACATTTGAACTCCTTGGCGGTGTGTATTTTTAGATGCTTTCGTAACTCAGTTTTGTCATTTGTTAAGTATTCGCACAGTACACATTTTAAGTCTGTGGACTCCACGTGCATTAAAAGATGTCGCTTCATATCTCTTATTAGGTTTGTTTCGTAATCGCACTGAGCGCATTGAAAATTCCTCTTGTGTCTTCGCAGATGCTCTTTTAGAGCGCCTTTGAAAGGTGTCTTATAATCGCACAGAACACATTTGAGATCTTTACAGACTTTATGACTTAAGAGATGCTGTACTAAGAATGATTTACGGACCGCCACGTAACTACACTCGTTACAATTGTAATATTCAGAAACTTCGGATTTTACACAAGATCGATTACTCGCTGTGTAATCGTACTCGTGCGTAAAAACTGCCAGTTGTTCATTATGTGCCAAATTTCGATCTTCCCACTTGACATCATTTTGATTTCCCCCATTGGAATAATCCTCACGGATCGTAATCTCATTGGGCTCCCTTTTTATGGTGACATTTTCAATAGCCAATTCATCTGTCGGCTCCTGTTTTGGTTCAACTTTAAGAACTGATGTCGACATCATTTCACAAAGTCGATCTACAACAGAAGTGATTGCATAATTAATAATTAAAGGGGTACTTACAAGAGATAGAAAAGCAGCCCCTAACTTTTTAGCAAGATGGTTGCCAAGGTGAATCTGTCAGTCAATAGAAAAAAAAAAGACTGGAAGCAACAACCTCCCCAAAGGTGTCTTCTCTCAAGCGCATGTTTACTTGTGCAGTGGCGTACATATACTTTCTGGGGTCATCACCTGACCCGGTTCTCTTATAACCCAGTGCAGTTCGTCGATGCGTGCACCACGAGCACCTGTCTCTTTCACACGGAACCATGAAAACATGTTTCTCTCTCGCGAAGCAGACAGAAAAATTAATTACATTAGTTTTAATTAAGGATAGTCTTGACCTTTTAGGCAACCTATTTGCAATGTGTTTGTTTGCATATCAAGATAGCTCAAAAATGTATTTCACCCGGTAAAAGGATGGGTGAAGGTTTGCATATGTTAAACCCGGTATTTGTAAAGGATGGGTGAAGGTTCACCTTGTGTGGGATTGTGGCGACCAGGTAGTCCGCTACCGATGATCCTTGTTTCTAGGACGACGAGATAACAAGGGATAAAAAAATCGTTGAGAAATGAGAGTTGTCAATGTTATTAAAAAAATAAAAGTTGATTAGAAATTTTAAATCGTTATTTAGTGTTGGGAGTGTTAAATATAAGAATTCCCACATTGGTGACCCCGACGTTTGATTAACATTACTACATCACTGTAAATTTTACGATTTGTTACATGGAATTGAGAAGTGGTAATATAATCTCTCCCTCCTCCGTTCCTATTGTGCGAACAAATTTGATGGAATCCTTTAGAAGTGTGGAATACGACAACACCGACGTCACAATACCCGAAAACGACGTTACACACGATAATGAGGCAATGCTGACAACTATGCCAGTGATTACTGAAACGATTCAACAATCGACATCACCGACTGCCGATATCAACGTCCAATTGGAGCAAATGCAACAAGCTATGCAGGATTTGGAAACACGCTTCGAACTGGCTTTGCGTATTAGAGAAAGAACCATCGACAATCTACAAAATCGTCTGCGTCAATTCAAGAGTTGCGAAACAGATTTAGTTCATGAAAAAGATGCAGAGATTGAAAATTCAGTTGGCACTACACGACAGGACGTCGATAATTCTGTCTCATTTCCAAAGTTAATTCCTCAGATGACGACGAATACCTCACTAGCTTCGTCAGCGTTAACAGAACTGGCGAATACGGCGTTTTCCGCACGACAACAGGCACCAAATTCATCGAAAGAGGAAACGCAAATTAGTTACATAGAATCGATAAGTAAGCGACCACGAATTCAGCCAATCTGGACCTCCAACCCAGCATTATGGCTTTAAACTGTTGAAGCGGAATTTCGTATATGCGGTGTTGTAGATGACGAGCAAAAATATTATAGCGTGCTTTCGGCACTCAACGAGCAAGTCATCATCCGAATTCCGCACGTCATTGAAAACCCACCGAATGAAAAGAAGTGGCCATCATTGAAAGCCGCCCTTTTGAAAGAATTCACTGATAGCCCACTGGAAAAATACGAACAAGTGTTGAGGGGTCTATCCCTAGGAGACGAGAAGCCTAGTTGGCTCTGGAGTCGTATGAAACAATTAGCACCTAGCTTCCCGGAAGATTTTGCAAAAAAACTATGGCTTGAACGCCTTCCCGAGCAGCTGCGAATTCCTTTGTTGGCTTTCGAGGATGGAAAATCAATCAACGAGCTAGTTAACGGAGCAGATAAAATTATGGAAGGCACACGACATTACGGAGCTGCAGACCATAAGCCACGCATCAGTGCTATTGGAGGAAAATCAGAACCTGGACGCTCCCGCTCGCGATCAGCAGACCGTTCCCTCAGTACACGCTTAGGACGCTCCCGCTCACGATCAGCAGACCGTTCCCTCAGTACACGCTTAGACCAACAAGCCAACAAAATTGATAAACTGTTTGACATGATCGAAAGGTTAGTGACAAGTGGTGGTCGTAACACCGATCAAGGCCGAAGTGGATACTATCAAAAACGTAGAGAGTCTCGGACACGAAGCCGTGACGCGACTCCAGTGAGTCCTCGAAACGGTGAGTCAAATAATTATGACGGCTATTGCTTTTATCATTGGAGATTCGGCGATCTGGCGAAAAACGGCCGCGAAAACTGCACTTATCCAAAAGTTACAAAAAACGAGTAGTGGGGGTGCAGGAAACTACACCCCCAACCATCACCTGCTTTTCATCGAAACGTCTGTTCGTTTACGACCCACAAACACACAAGTCGTTTCTTGTGGACACTGGGGCGGATTTGTCACTGTTTCCTTCATCGAACGGTGATCCGACTAGCCAATCTGGGCAATTACTTGCAGTTAACAACACAATAATTGGGACATACGGCACTCGAGATTTGACGATCTCGCTTGGATTTGACCGTACATTCACCTGGCGTTTTACTATTGCCAACACATCCACACCAATCCTTGGCGCCAATTTCCTCGACAATTTTAAACTCGACGTCAGTATTTCGGAAGGCAAAATTACTGATCGAGTAACAGGTGCCTGCGTTTGTAGAACTGGAAAGGATCAAACGAGAATCGGCTTATCATCACTGCATTTAGAACATCCGTTCGCTACCATCGTAGACGAATTCATCGAACTTACCGAACCAAAGAAGTTTGACGACTCGATCAAGCCTCCAATGGTTATCCATCATATCGAAACCACGGGCCCGCCTATCAGCTGCAAGCCGCGTCGATTGAGTGGCGAGAAATTAGATGCTGCGAAAAAAGAATTTGCATCTATGGTTAAACGGGGCATTTGTCGCCCGTCTAATTCACCGTGGGCCTCACCATTACATCTCGTACGAAAAAAGGATGGTAATTGGCGACCCTGTGGTGATTACCGCAGGTTGAACGCGGCAACGATTCCAGATGCGTATCCTATTCCCCATCTTCACGACGTGCAATGGATGCTTCGCGGAAAAAAACATTTTACGACGTTGGATCTGGAGCGTGCTTACAATCAAATACCTATAAACCCTGAGGATATTCCAAAAACCGCAATCGTAACCCCATTTGGGTTATATGAATTCCCAGTTATGACATTTGGGTTACGCAATGCAAGCCAGACGTTCCAACGTATGATAAATGGACTGTTGGCGGATTTCAATTTTTCGTTTGCTTATATTGATGATATCTTAGTGGCGTCGTCATCGTTCGAAGAGCATCTCGAACATTTGCGATTGGTGTTAACGCGTCTCCAATCGGCAGGGTTGAGGATTAATCTGGCGAAGTGCCGTTTTGGACAATCATCTGTTCAATTTTTGGGCCACATCGTCACCGGTAGTGGAATCAAACCCCTTCCGGATAAGGTCCAAGCGATCAACAATATCCCATTGCCCACTGTTGTGAAGGAACTCCGCCGTTTTCTTGGAGCAATCAACTTCTACAGGCGTTTTATTCCTGGTGCAGCTCACTGCCAAGAAGCGCTTAACAACCTCATCGTTGGCAACGTAAAAAATGATAAAACAAAAATTCTTTGGACGCAACTCACCCGTGCGGCGTTCGAAGAGTCGAAAAGACTCCTCGCCGAGTCAACAATGTTAGCACACCCGAAGGAAAATGCACACCTTGTTCTTGAAACGGATGCAAGCGATGCTGCAATTGGAGCTGTTCTACACCAGGTAGTTGACGGCGTCATCGAACCTCTTGCGTTTTACTCAAAAAAGCATGAACCATCCGAATATCGATATGACACTTACGACAAGGAACTATTGGCAATTTGGAGGGCTATCCGTCATTTCGATCATTATTTGGAGGGCCAACAATTCACTGTCCTTACTGACCACAAACCACTACTTGGTGCGTTTGGAAAGACGAGTCATCACACCGATCCGACGAGACGGCGTCGGGTGGCGCAGATCTCCGAGAGAACAACGGACTTCAGACATATCTCGGGAAAAGACAACTTGGTTGCTGACTTACTTTCACGTATCGCTACAATATCATCACTATCATTCGACTTTTCCGCGCTCGCCGCCGATCAAATAGTGGATCTTGAATTACAACAATTGCTCTCTGTCGAGAACACCAGTTTCAAACTGCTTCGATTGAAACACTTCGACTCGAGCCTTGAATTGATCTGTGAAGTGTCCACTGGCAAAATGCGGCCTTTCGTAACAAATTCGTTACGAAAATCATGCTTCAATAAAATGCACGGCATCAGCCATCCTGGAATTCGAGGTACGCAGAAATTGATCCGTCAGCGATTCTTCTGGCCTTCTATGCGGAAGGATATAGCCAACTTTGTTAAGCATTGTATACCATGCCAGCAAGCTAAAGTGCACAAACACAACAGAGCAATCTTAGACAAATTTGACCTTCCATCTGAGCGTTTTCAACATGTACATATTGATATTGTAGGACCGCTACCGCCGTCGGATGGAATGCAGTATATTTTTACAGCCGTCGATCGCTTTACTCGATGGCCGATTGCAGTTCCTATTGCGGATATTCGAGCTGAAACTGTGGCACGTATATTCATCACGAGCTGGATTTCAAACTTTGGAGTTCCACATCGAGTGACCACGGACCGTGGTCGCCAATTTGAAAGCACTCTGTTCAGGGAGTTGAGTATTCGTCTGGGAGTAGATCATATTAAGACAACTGCCTATCATCCTCAGGCAAATGGTCTTGTCGAGCGTTTCCATCGACAGATGAAGGCAGCTCTTATGTGCTTCGAAACAACGGACTGGTCTCATCGACTTCCCTTGGTTCTTCTCGGATTGAGAAGCACTTTCAAGGAAGACCTCGGAGCCTCGTCAGCCGAAATGGTTTTCGGTACAACTTTGCGTTTGCCCGGAGAGTTTTTAGATAAACAAACTCCTTCAAACGTGATAGCTACGCAGTTCAGCGACGAGCTTACTAGTATTATGAACGAGATTCGACCTGTTGCAGCGGCAGACCATTCTAGGCAACGACCTTTTTTTATCAAGGGATTGGACGAATGTACGCATGCATTTATTCGAGATGATCATGTGCGTCGTTCACTGCAACCGCCTTACCTTGGGCCATATGAGGTTGTTAAACGTGGCCCCAAGATGTTCAATCTGTTAGTGAAAGGGAAGACAAAAGCTGTCTCGGTGGACAGAATCAAACCGGCTTTTATTTTGGCGTCTTGGCCCGAGTTATATTTTGGTAAAAAACAGACACCTTCGGTGGCGGCCAAGAACGAAAATTCAAATGAGCAGAATTCGAGAATTTTACTTAAGAGCCAGCACAGGGTGACTTTTGACTTGCCGC